GCCCCGACGGTCACCCGGGCCCGCCGCCTCCCGCTCCCCCTGGGCCGCGCACCGCCTCCACGCCCTCCTCCTCCTTCTCCCCCGGCCCGGGCGCCCTGGCACCGGGAACCGTTGCCTGACGCGCGAGGCCCAGCTCCACTTTTCGCCCCGTGTCTCCTGCTGCTGCTCTCCTCCTCCAACTCCTCCAACTCCCTCGCCCTCTGACTCCGCTCGCGAGCCCCCGACACCGCGCCCGCCCGCCACTTTCCGTCCACAGTCCCAAAGGTTGGAGCGCGTCCGCCCCGGCCCGCACCATGGCACGGTTCGGCTTGCCCGCGCTTCTCTGCGCCTTGGCCGCGCTCAGCGCCGCACTGCTGGCTGCAGAGCTCAAGTCGAAAAGTTGCTCGGAAGTGCGACGTCTCTACGTGTCCAAAGGCTTCGACAAGAACGATGCCCCCACGCACGAGATCAACGGTAGGTGGGAGCCCCCGGGAGGCGAGCGCCGGGACCGGCACTCCGGAGAAGGGGCCTCGGAACTCCTCGCGTCTCCCGCGCGGGACGCAGGTAGCCGAGAGGGAGAAATGGGCAGGCGCGCCAGAGGGACCCCAGGCGCAGAGCGTTTACCACGGCCGCGGCTGCCGCCAGTGCGCCGCTGGCGGAGGGGCGCCCGCGAGTTGCCAAGTGCCACTCCCGCGCTCCGCTTACATCCCCCATCCCCTCCCGCGGTCTCTCCAGTCCCAGGAAGGGCTCTGGCCCGCAAAGTGCGTGTCACCGGCTCCCTCGCCTTTTCCGGGTTATACTCCTTACTGGGCTCCCCGCTTTGTTGTGTGTGTGGCGAGCGGCCGGGTAGGGGGTGTGGGGGTCACCAGTAGGGGTGCCTTCTAGAGCTTGCCAGATTCCGGGGAGCGCAAAACGCAGACCTTGAATTAATGTTTCATTGATCTTTAAAAACCCATTCCCCATCACTCTCCCACCGCTGACATGGATTAGGAGTTTGAGTGGGTCCAGCGGCTTTAGAAGTCGCCTTTAAAAAGCAAACGACTCTCCAGCCCTCCAGATCGTGACTTTTGGGAACTCTCCTGCTTTCCGGAAGGTGTTGGATGAGGAGGGTATTTCCCCCGCCCCTTTTTTTCTCACCTCACTGTAAGGGTTAATTGCACTTTAAATTACAAACCTTTGAAAGGACTGATTACAGGAAACCCGAATCTCAGTTTGGAGATGGTTATGCAAATGGAGACGACTTAGCCTGTGAAAAAGTTTACCGGATTTCGGCGCTGGGGGTGCGTGGGGTGTTTGTGAAAGCCCTTCTTGGAGCGCTGAGGAGGCAGCTTTCCGGCGGGTGCCCTTCGCCCCTCCTCGCCCGGCGGGCGGTGGTGGCGGGGCGGGTCCCCTCTGGGTTGCACTCACTCATTCGCCAAGGCCAACTGTTGCGCGCAGCCCCGCGGGCCGCGCTGGGGCCAGCGGCGGCGCAGGTAGCCTGTTCGCCCCGAGGGTTCAGAAAGAACCACGAATCTAACTGGCTGGTGGCCAGCATAACCTAACGGAGAAATGAGCGATTCGAACCCCGGGGGCCAAGCCTCCATTCCGAACCTTTCATGGAAGTGAGCAGAGCGCGCCTTTGCCTCGTGGTGTTGGTCACCCGGGTGGGGCGGGCAGGGGGCCGGCAGCCAGCAAAGGAAATAGTGTAATTTCAACCAGGCACTTCCAAAGGCTTAGGAAGACTTGGGGGTCATTTTTTGGAAGGGCTATTAATAACCTTGGAGATTAAGTGCAGTCATCAATTACACATAAATTACAAAGGTAATTGAGGGAAGTTCCCGAGCACTTTCCGAGTGTGACCGGCATCTTTCTAGAAATAGAACCTAAGAAATCATTGGAGCAGCCTCGGAGCCCACGGCACCTTGGCAATTATCGGCTAACTTGCACGTTACTGATCAGAAACTGTTTGCCCTTGGGCTGTCTGTTTTTTGGGGAGCTCCAGTAGGTCTTAAGAGCGGCACGATTTTATTGGTTATAGAGCCCTTAAAAAGCCCTCTTTCTTTCCTCTCTCCCTCCGGGCCCGCCAGAAAAAGTGAAGTGAACCAGCAGCCAGTGAAGCTTGGGGGCTCCACAGGTCAGACTTGGGGTCTTTGTGCCCTGCACGGTTTGGGCCGGGGCCAGCAGAGATGATTGGCGTGAAGGTTACAATTGTCATTCCCACATTTTGAAGGGATAGATGCAGCGCTGCACTTAATGGGGGTGTGACAAGTTTTCATCTTCTACTTCTGCAAACAATATGTGCTTTTGAGGTGGACTGGAGGCATTCAGGGAGTGGGTTGTGATATTGCTCTCCTCACTTTCCAGCCTGGCTCTGTGCAGTCTCCTGTCTTCCGATGGCAGGACATCGTCCCCAGCCAGCATCTCAGGAAAAAGGAAGTTTGAAGGGTGCTCAAGGACAGTGCTAGGTGTCCCCTTTGATTGTCATGGTCCCTAGAAAACACCTGAGGAATATTTTGCATCAATGTCTCTCTGGTCATCTTCCTCCCAAAGGTAGGAGAATTATTAGTGACCAGCAGCAGGAAATGGAAGCTAATGTGCTCACACCCAAAACATTTTATTATTTTGTCTTGTCCTTCATCTCCCTCCCAGGGCTGCTGCTTTTATTTCCCCTTTTGAATGACCTACTGGACTGCATTCTCCTGAGGAACAAAGGAAGTGCCTTTTTAGCTGGAATCCTTGGAAGACCACCAAGGACTTTAGCTCATGCAGTGCAATTTCGCACCACTTTCAACAATAACAAAAATGCATGACTGAATGGCTCAAAAATGTGGAGTGTTAGAGGCATTCATTTGAGTCTAGGACACTGTCACAACACAGACAGACCCAAGTAAATACCTTTAGACGGCCAGTATAGAAACAGGGGTAATCTTTACCATCGCTCTGGCCTCTCCAGATGCATACATTATCCTTGTCTTCCCTGCGCTACAGTCGGATAACTTTGGTCATTTTGGAGAGCATAGTCAATGTGGTGACTTGAATGAGTTAATTGCCAGATACTTTCCTGGGTGGCGGGGGAAGGGGAGGATGTTTTCTTAAGTGCAGAAACTCCAGGACTGTGTTCCAGGCAAAGGGTCACAGCGTCTGGGTGCCTCGCCCCAGGCTTAGCCCAAGTTTAAGGTTTGACTTCCGACGGCCTTGCACTTGCCTTCTAGAGGTTTGAACAGGCGTTAAGAATATTTCACGCTCTTAAGGGCTCTCAGTCTGTTAAGATCATAATTAAGATAATCTGATGTGCTCTCAAGGGTGTCAGGGAGTACATCATGCTGACAGGGCCTCCAACCGAGGTCCTACATTGCCTGTCTGCTTGACCTCTGTACTTACCAAATAATGGGTAGCCCAGAGGCCATGATCAAAAGGGATCTTTAACACAAAGGATAGGGTTTTGTTCAGCTTTCAATGGGCATAATTTTTGGAGCACCTACTAGGTACAGTATTCTGTGCCCAGCATCTTGGAGGCAGCAAGAAGGACAGAAGAGCCTCTGCCACCGGGACCTTTCCAGGTAGTAGGGAGATAATCTGTGCACACACATGATTGGAATTCAACATGGTGTGTGATAAGTACTATGTGAGTGGTACAGATGAGGAGAGGGAGGTTCCTGGAGAGTTCCCAGGGAGAAGGGATTTGGGACTCAGGTATTCACTCCCTAATGGTAGTTCAGTAGTAAAAATAAATATTATTAATAATAAGAAATTGTAAAATCTTACCGTTCTCATTGTGCCTCCCTCCATAAGGCCAGGATAAAGGATATACAACAATTGGCCTTTTATTGCTACTCTAATCTTTGTTTGAAATTGTCTTGCAGGGTGAGACAGTCGGTAAGAAAGCTTCTTAAGCTTGTCAGAGGACCCTTCCACAGTGACACGGAATGATACCAAGGAGGACTTGGCATCATAGTTGCGATTTTGGAGTTTTTATTCTCGTGTTCCCATTTTTGTTCCTGAGCAGTGCACGTGTGAGCATGCACGCAGGCACATGCATACCTCAAAGGATTCTGGGAATCACGGAAACTCTGTTAGGGCTACACGGGAAAACCTGTGTTTTGGAGAGGTAGGAATCCTTTCTGATACTGAGTTAATGATTGCGTGTACGACACAACGTATGGCTTCAAGAACTGTATTCCCTCTTAACCTACTTTCAGTAGATGGGGTGGATTTTGCAGAGAACTGGTAATTTTTCTTTTCTGTTGAAATCGTCAGTTTGGCTCCCCGTGTTTAACTTGAGAAGAGGCTCTCACTGAGCCGCAGGGCCTGTCGGTATAGAAATCGTCCCATGTGGTATAGGAACTGTGCTCAACAAAGAGCTTAGTAAAAGTTCTGGCTTATGCAGCTCAATCTCTAGTTAGAACATACAAATAGAAAATGTTTGATTCAGCATAATTACTATTTTCTTTTTTTATTTGACTCACATTGGGTTGCATGCAATTTCCGGATTAGCTGGAGACTAGACTGAAGAATGAAAAAGGAAGTTTTTTTGTTGTCTCAACAAGGGAAACAATATCAGTGTTAATCTAAATCAGTTGGAAGCGAGTCTCTGGCTCCCCAATAACATTAACTGTTTTAGCACTGAGCTGGTTCCCATATATGTTCAGCAAAAGTGCATTTTGACCTCATGAGAAGAGCGTGCAGCTATTAAGTGCCTGCCCTGGGCCTGGTCCTAAATGGATCATCTCATTTAAAGTCCCCAACAACCATGTGAAGTCAGAATAATTACTATTTTCATCATGATCATCCCCATTTTATTGGCAAGGAAACAGTTAAAGGGATTTAGAAGTATATTCATAGTCTCACTGCTAGTGGCTGTTAGAGGTGAAATTTGAACCCAGGTATTCTCTGACCCAGAGCACAGTCTGTGCTATGTTATGCAGAGAATAAAAAGGTATCTTCCCAACTCCCTTAGAGGGCTGGTTTAGGAGTATAAGCTATGAGAAGACTGGCATCTAACTAGAAAAAGACCATCATCACAGCACCATTCTGATGCTGTGGTAGAAAGATCCAATCATGTCCTTTGCCAGCAGAGTGTTGTACCCAGACAGTCTCATGTTAGGAGTAGAAGAAATATAAATTGTATTTCTTGGGCCATAGGGAGCTGATAATAGTTTCTGAGGAGGGGAAGGTCATTAGTCAAGCTGTTTGGAAGGTAACTAGTGGCACTGCAAATTAAGGGTTGGTGAGGCAAGGGAAAGCTGTTGGTCAGGAGGCTGTTTTCAGCAGTTTTACTTGCCTTTGGTCTATTTCACACCCCCCCCCCGCCTCATTCCATCGGCCTCCTTTCCTTACGGTGGTGCTTTGCATGGAGTCTTCATCCCTCTGCTTTGAGCTTCCATGGTTCCAAGTATCAAGTGATAGTTTCATTGAGTCACTTCTGAACTCCCCAGGGTTATACGCCCTCTTCTGAATTCCTTGCTTGAGTCAGATCCGTGGTCTTTGCACACAGC